GCATGCGGCACAGTGCGCTTCACCGCTCTGCGGGCCGCGGCCGCAAACCGCCGAATTCAGCCGTGGATATTTACGGATGAGCGATCCGTCTGCCGAATGCGCGGGGGGTTCCCGGTGATCCGCCCAGCCGTCGTCCCTGCGTGTCTTGCAGGGCGCTGCTCTTTTCCGGATGGCGACCCGGACGCGCTTGATTCATTTGATGCGGCGGCGGGTGGCGCGTATTTCCCCCGCGTCTGCGCGCGAATACTTCCTAACACAGCGCCCATGCGCAGCCCAATCTGCCTCCTTCCGGCCGCGCCGCCCGCGGGGTCCGCGAAAAACGATGGGGCGATTTGTTGTCTCGCCAACCTGCGCATCGTGCGTGGCCCACGCGTCGTCGCTGTCCACCGTGCAGCGGGCCGCCCACCCATCGGCTCGCACCGATTCCGGCAGCGTCTCGCCCGGGGGCGGTGGAAGCGGCAGCCTCCTCCACTCGAGCACCGCAGCGCCGCGGCACGCGCGAAAACCCGTTTGCCAAACGCCGAACCACCAAAGTTGCGCCCCCAAATGCTGCAGGCCGTGCGACCTCCCAGACGGGGCGGATCCGGAGTAATCAATGCGACCGCGGCCGTCTCGAGTGAACTGCTCTGCCTTGCGGGGGCCGGCGAGGGCGCCGATCCCCGCCTGGAGAAGTGCGGGAGCGGCGCCGCCATGGGGCGGAGGCGGCAAACCAAAATGCCGAAAATGAATTTGAACAAAAGCGCCCGCACTCTTTCACAGCAAACGCGTCTCAAAGAGAACACACAATGCATCTTGCTCCTTCTTCAACCGCTTCTCCGGAGGGTCCGCTTCTCCCGCCAGAGAAACCGCCGGCATTCCACCGAGCGACGGGCAGAACAGGACCCGGATTCGATTCCGCGTCACCGCGCACAGCCTAAGAAGCTGCCACGGAAGAAACCTTAGCGCAATATGTGTCACTACATTTCGACGCGTGCAGCTCCGCGTGGCGGGAAATCAAACGCATTCGCCTCGGGCTTCCTGAACGCGGTGCTGCCCAAAGCCCGACCGCCGCCAACAACGAGCCAAAAACGAAACGGAGCGTAGTGGGTGCTTGGGTTTCTTCTTTGTTGCGGTTGCGGGCGAGCCCTGCCAGCGCTTTGCCGGCATCGCGGGGCCGGGGCGGTGCGGGTCTCCGCAACAGGGGTTTTCCAATTCCTTTTTTCTTGTTTTTTTTCTGCTGGGCGACCTCGTTGGTAGCGTGGGGTTGGAAATCGCCCAGCTAGCCGGCGGAGCGGGCCGGAAGCAGGACCCGGGCGAAACGCGTGTTGGGTGTGCCGTCGCGCCGCCTTTGGGGATCCGAAAGGCCAGCCACAGGGGCTGGCAGCTGCAGGCGAAGCGGGTTGGTTTTTTAAATGTCCGGGCTTCCTACTTGGGGGCGCGCAGCTCACGGGTGGGTTGGAGGCGGCGGCGTTCATCACGTGGCTTTTCTTCTGTGGTTGTGGAGTAGTGCGTTGTGGGGTATTGGTGGCGCTTGCGGAAGGGATCCGTGCAGTGGCAGGTGGACGAATTTGATTGTTGGTGCATTTATATATTGCCTGTTTTTTTATTTGAAAAAAAGGCCTAAATACAGCAGGTTCCGCGTTTTAATTTTATCTTCGCTGCTGCCGATTGTTTTTGAACTTTTCCAAGCCGAACAATACATCTCTGTATGCCAGAAACGCATAGCTGGGTATACAGCTTTCAAGGACAGGATATGTGAGATTGTTGTTGGGTACTGGTTTTGACTTGGGTAGTGGATCGATGCTGTACTTTTCTCCGCTTTGATGCGAGTACGGATATTAGCTTCTCTGCCCCCAAAAACAGAGACAGGAAAAGCAGTGTGTCCGAAGAGTGAAGTTATGAGCCAGGAAAGCTATGAACGTGTATCCGCAGATGCATCAGAGAGGTGTTTTGGATCCTCTGCTGTTTGTGTTGTGTATTAATACAAAGTTGAACGACGCTCTTGCGTTAAGGATTGGGAGACACGGGTGCATGCGGTGACTAAAGTAGAAAACAGCTGCCTTCATGGGGTGATTTTTTTTTTTCGCGCTGTGATGATGCAAGAGAAATTAGTAGCACTGGTACGCCACTCAAATTGGCAACATCACCTCAGCGTCAGAAGAAATTACAGAGTGACATCTCTTTTGTTTTCTGCAACATCAATGTTTGTAACTTTCCCACCGCATGCCACTATTTACGCATTTCTACTCGCCTTGTATCTTCCCAGTTGTTGCGGTTAACGTAATACTGCATTACAGAGGCGAATCTGTTGACCTCATCCAAATGAGATGCAGCATAGTAAGACTTCTTGCATGAATCAGTAATGAATTTTTTCTTGGGCTGACAAAAAATACCAGCATTTGCAACTAACAGGAAGCAAAGTGCATCTTTGTTTCTTCTCCCATTTACCTTTTTTTTACTGTTTTTTTTGGGGATGTTCTTATTTGTCACTTTGTTGCGTCGCTGGCGCTGCTGAAGAGTTTCCCACAGGCTCGTGTACAAGGGCTGTTTGCGTCTTTGTTTGCGGATATGACACTTGACTGGCGTTAGCGCTAGACCTTTCGGTTTTTTTTATGGGGGTGGTTGGCTGCACAGTGTGGATGGGAGCGGAGTGCTGCATTGCTACTTCGAATGGGGAAGAATGGGAATTTCTTTTTCTTCCTTTTCCTTTGCATTGTCGTCTACTGCTTCTTGGAAGGGCTTTCCATTTCCTCAAAATTGAACGTTTGCGAAGAAACTCGAGGGCCTCATCTTTGCTTTGGAGGCTAGGGTGGGGCGTCGAACCCGTTTCCGATTGCAAGTGGCAAATATTGGATTTTTTTTTAGCTTTTTTCATGTCATCGATGAGTCAAGTCAGGATGCAGGCAGGATTATTTGTGCGCAAGAGCGTTTTCCTTTTTTTTTCTTTTCGCTTTAAATGGAGTTGGATGGAGTTGTGTAGTCAACGCCACCCCCTCACGTAGCCGCCTTTGGAGGGGCAGTGACACACATTTTATGAGGCGAGGGGAGGGATAGTTGCTGTTTAAGGCAGGAAGATAAGCAGCTTTGTTTTTGTTTTTGGTTTCTTTTTCGTGCTATCTTTCTCTTTCTAGTGACATGCGTCAGCGGGCGTTAACCAAAGTTGGTGTTCTGCTTAATGTCTGTGGGCTGGGGAGGGGAGGAGGGGAACGTTGTTGTCGGATAAACGGCCCACACCCATTCTTGCGAATGGTACGATCATGTTAAAAGCGCAGGCAGGAAAACGATGCACACTACGCAGGCAAAGAGGGATAACAATTGATCACGAAGAAGAAGAAAATATTGCTGCTATGAATATGTAGCATTATTCGTAGCACGAAAGCATGAATGAATGTAAAAGTAAAGATTTGCATTATTGATTAAAAACAGTGTAGGACCCAACATCTATATAGTGAATCAATTTGCTTGCCGCCGAAGGAACAATGGGTCTTTTTGTTTGTTTGTTTGTAAACTAGCGATGAAAATCATAGTGTTCGAATTATTAATGCGTTCAAAATAAATAGCTCTTATCGAGCATATATATATATATATACTCAGGGATGTATTTTGTTGTTTCTTAAATCGACGGATATTGGTGGAATGCGACTGTGTTGCCCTGTTAGCGTCGTCCTGAACGCGGGCCCAACACTGCGTAAGAAGAACCGTAATACTACGGGTGAGGAATACCGTTAACGGTGATGGTAGTAATCGTGGCACTGGTAGTAATGGCGTAAAGGTGTGGGGTGCAACGAATATTGGGCTTAATGCCATGTCACCTGCATATGTGGGACAGACATGTGTACTGTGCGTGCCACAATGAGGCCCCAATAACCGAGAAGGAAGCCTTGTACACCACAACCGCCCATTTTATAAAATAAAAATGGTGGTGACGCAGTTATAGTGCCTCTGTCCTGCAAACAAAATAATAATAATAATCCAAATAAGAAAAAGAAAAGGGAGCGGGGGGGGGGGGGAGAGTACCTAAAAGAATCAAAGGAACATGGACGTGCCTCCAGGGAGCGTGTGAGGAAACATCAAACAGATCGTATTTGCCATTTACTGATAGCAAAAATCAATGCACACACACACACACAAGAGATATTGCCGTTATTTTTGTTTGTTTTGTTTTTTAATCTCCTTTTAAAGGCGGGCCGAGGCAATTCCACCTATCGGATACTGGGAACACGCCAAAACGAGGCCAATACGGGCTGTTCTTACATGCATTTTTAATATGTTTGCTGATCGTTCCTATCACAAGCTTTGCCGAGACTCAATCGATAAAAGAAGCCGCTTGACTAAGCAAAAACGCCATGACACAATAAAGTCAAAGGAGCATCATATATAGTTTCCGTGCCATACAGCAGCTGGAGAAGTTGGCATTACGGTGCCGAAGAGAAATCACACGGTAGCAGGCGGAAACACGCAACTACAGGATTTAAATGCATTGTTCCTGGTGTGTGTGTGTGGGGGGGGGATCTACACTTCCACAAGAAGGAGAACAGAAGTTGCCAATAATTGCTAAAAATAAACAAACTAAACGGAAAGAGGTTCTCTACAATCATGAAATGAATGACGCAACAGGAGTCAGAGCCCCTGCGTAGAGTTTCCCCCAAAGCCTCAATGGCAAGGTACTTTCATCTCGGGTAGAGAGCAGCAGGATATCCTTTGCTAAGAAAAGCGCAAAAAAGAAAAAAAAGCACCAGCGTGACAGACAGTGAAGCAGCAAGAAGGGCATCCGCGGAAAAGTCCTCTCGGAGGAGAGCAGTGGTTCTTTATCTCCTCCTGAGCCTCGTGGGCTGGGTTGTAGCTTTACTGAGTTTAGTTTGCGTTGACATTGATATTTCTGTGGGCTTGGTGAGGAACGGCTTTATTGCTGTCGTGAGTTCTGACGATACATTTTCTGTGGGTTTGCTCCTGCCTGGTTGATTGCCTGCCGCCTTTGCCGTAGGTTCCAAATTGGGTTGCTTGGGGCGTGAGGGGGGAGCCGTGACTCGGCGCGGGTGCAGGCACTGCGTGACGAACCTGCCTGAGAAGCTGGAGATCTGGCTGTTGTCCAATAAGTAGTTGCGGGTGCTTGTGGGGAGTCGATCCCACGCCACCACATTGAAGTCCGTGAGGCGATGATGGGTGTACGGCCAAAAGGTGAGCTTCCACGGAGCAGTCGCCCTGCGTTGTTAGAAGATGCAGGGCGGGCCCGTTCTCTGGCGCAGCCCGCCGCAGCCGCCTCTCTCTCCCTCTTCTTCCTCACCCCGCCGCTTTTGCCTCTTAGTTCTTTGCTCGGCAGCAGAAATACGCAGAAAGAGTGAAGCAAATCAGTCAGCGCATCGCGACCGAAAAGAAAGGAGGGGAGAAAGGCAGACACACACACAGACACGCACACACACACACGACGAGAAGATCGAGAGGAAACGAACAAGTGGGAATTGCGAGCTATAGAGAAAGAGAGGAGGGAATAAAAGGAAAGAAAGAAGGAAAGGGATCGAGCGAGATCAGGGTAGTGTAGGGAATGTTGAAGGTGGTTCCCAGTGAGCTGCAGTTTGGGGCGCTTGCTGTGAACGATGCGCCTGTGTACTGCCGCTTCAGCGTTGTGAACACCGACCCGCTGGCCGCCCTGTCGGTGCAACTCACCGCGACGACGTTGCCGGCCGCCATTAGCTTTAAACTGTGGGAAGACATGTTGCTTCTCGGCGAAGCGGATGTGGAGGGCGGCGGCGATGCCCAGAAGGATCGCCCCACGCGGGGGACGCTGTCGCCCTTCTACAACGCCGTCTTAGACGGCGTTAACGCCATTGACCGGCTGCTGCTGGCACCGCTGGAGGTGAAGGATGTGGTGGCCATCTTCCACGCGGACCCGGGGCAGTTTTCCAGCGTCGTGGTGCAGGCCCCGCCCACGCTGGTTAGCGGGGCGATTCAGTTGACGGCGGCCTCATTGCCGGTGGCGTCCTCGCCCATCTACGCGGACGCGAGTAGGCGGAGCTCGGACAAGAAGAGCCTTAGCAGCAGCGACGGCAGCTTAGCCACGCTCGCCTCCTCACTGCACCTCATGAGTGAGAGGAAGGACGGCGAGCACACACAGCTGCACAAGGGCGGTCCCGCGGCCTCCTCGGCGGGCGGCGG